AGATGGGCATTGGGTCTCCACTCCATGGCCCCACTCTCCACATTCACATTGGGTATGGCTTTATTCTGGGTCTTAACTGCCTGATACCTATCCCATGGACACCTCATGATCACACAGGCTGGTGTGCTTCTTCCATCTGGGCTTTGTTTCTTCTGAGTTAGCCATTTGTTATAGTGCTGACTGGCTTGCATTGATAGAAAAGCCAGGAGCTGGGCCCAAGAGCTGGAAAGAAAATTCTAAACGGAGAAGGCGCATTAAAAAGGAATGGAGGGCTCAGACCAAACACTATCCACTAAATTACTTCATTGAATCCCCATGAGGGTAGTGGGGATCCTGAGTTTCCAGTTTATAAATAAGGAACATTACCTCAAGGAATTTAAACAAATACTGAAACATAAATAAGAGACAAGGCCAGGATTTGACCCCTCTGTTTGACTTTGGAGTGCCCTTCCCATGCTTAGATTTAATAGACATTGGCCTAGAGGTGGTCACATGATCTGATGTCAATTTAAGACTTAAGAGTGAAGAGGTGGAGTTTAGCCTGTCAATCAGGTTGATGACCTCATTTGGTGGCGCTAAGAAGAGAAATAGCTCACTGGAGGTGGGGCACACACTCACTCCCTATGAAGCATTCCTGTTGAGAAGAAACATGGAGCTACACTAGAACCCTGGAGCTGGAGCCACGTAGAGACCCCTGCCAGCACTGAGATGCTTACAATGCCACTGGATCCACAAGACCTCCCACCCACTGGCCTGTGATCTTCCTGCATTTCGTGTCATTGAATGTGCTGTGTGAGTCTGAAGAGGAATTTACAGATTGGTATCAGATATATGGCTAATTGGACTTGTGGACTTGATCTGGACTGGGCTAGGATGTTTTCTCACTATTCAATTGCTCTTGAATATAAAGCTCTTTCTTATACACATATGAGTGTCTATGAATCTGTTTCTCTAGTCTACCCACACTAACACAAGGTGTGAATCCCTGGATGGTGGGGCTGGTTAGGCATGCGGCTGGCCACTAACCAAAAGGTGGAAGGGTTGAGTTCCACCCAGAGGCACCTCGGAGAAAAGGTCTGAGATTCTCCTTCTGTAAGATCACCGCCATTGAACGCCCTGTCCAGCACAGGTCTATGCAGACACACATGGAGCCACCGGGAGTCGGACTCAACTCACCACAGTTGGTTGGGTTTGGGCTTGACCCAAGGAAGGGCATGAGGAAGCATGCAGGTCCTTTGCAAGGTCCCCTGAAGGCTGGGTTTGGGTTTGGGCTTTGGTTTGGGCCAAATGAGCACTTGCCGTCTGTGGAAGTCCACCTTCTTCCTTGACCCCGAGGCGGCTGTCTCTGTGAGGCAGGATTGTGAGGACTGTGTGGAGAGGTAAGCTTCTTCTCCCTTTCCCTAAACCTAGAGTGGAAGTCCAAGTCTAACTGCAAGTCAAATATGGACACATCAGACTCCCCAGAGTATAGGCATGCCTGTACTGCCCCCCCAGTAGGGACCCCACCTGAGCCAGAATTGGTTCAATGGCATTGAGTTGGCTGCCCCCAGAAAACCTCCCTCTGCTGAGGCATATGGATAAGTGGCCTTCCTGCAGATGTGTCCTGATGATTCTCTCAGTTCAAAACCACCACTGTGAAGTTTGAAGCCACCAAATGTCAAATCCACCTGTGTGTCTGTACCCTGGAGGCCATCCTCCTGTAAGATAGATCTGAGGAAGTGGAAAGGGCCCCTGGGCCCAGGAGAGAATGCTACTTAGTAGTCCAGAGGCTAAACCACCTCCATTCCATGAATTCAAAGACACACACACACACACACACACACACACACACACACACACAAAACCCCTTACTGCTAGGGCAAATACGAAAGTATTACCGCAAGATTACTGCAACCTTTATTAAACAAAAATATCAAAATGTGAAGCTGCTGTTTCTCAGTGTATCCTCCACCCAAAGATGATATTTCAACTTCTCTCACCCTTCCCTCAAAGAAGTTTGCTCTCTTTGATTGATAACACAACCAAACAGCAGTTTGGCTTCTTGGTGGGACACGAATCCCATTCCTTTTCAATGTGCTTTGAGTTTGGGGAACAAGACGAAGTCTAGAGAGCAAGATCAGGGCTGGAGCATGGAAGAGGTAGGGTTTCCCAGGCTAGGACAGCCCTTGCAACCCTTGCAAAAAGAGCAGATGTGTTGTCCCAATGGGGGGGAAAAAGAATTCCTCAGTGCAACCGTTTCTAATCTTAACATTTCTTCTTCCCAAGAAAACCTCATGATTGTCCTTTGCTCAAGAGAATCTATCAAGATTACCTCTTCAGAATCCAAAAACAAAAAAACTTTCTGAACTAACCAACATGCCTTGAATTTAGCTGGTCCATCAGATCCCTGAGAGCCAGTTTTGATTGGACCTTTTTTTTGAAAGCATCCTAAATGAGACCCAGTGTGGTAGTTATATAATCTGGTGTCAATTTGGGACTTGAGAGGATTAAGAGTGAAGGGATGGAGTCTAGTCTGTCAATAGGGCCACAGCCAATGAGGTCTCTGTGTAGGTATGGCCTTCTCCTGAGGATTCCTGGAATTCCTGCTTGGAGGCCAAAGAGACTCTGCTCACTCCCTTGGAGACTCACTACTGACAAGACACATGGCCCTAAGCTCTGGTTGCTAGAGAAGCCATATGGACCTACCCTCATGCAACCAGACCTCTGGAACCGGAGAAGCCACATAGAGACCCCTGCCAGCGCTGAGATGTTTACAATGCCACTGAATCAAGAAGACCTCCCACCCACTGGCCTGTGATCTTCCTGCATTCAGCATCATTGCATGTGTTTCGTGAGTCTGAAGATGACTTTATAGATTGGTATCGGACATATGGGCTAATATTGGATTTATGGGCTTGATCTGGCCTGGGCTGGGACATTTTCTCAATATTAAATTGTTCTTATATATAACTCTCTTTCTTATATACATATGAGTGCCTATGAATTTGTTTCCCTAGTCTGTGCAGACTAACACACTAAGATAAGGGTATGACTAAGAGAACTTGTCTGTAGCCAGCCACTGATTGCAAAGACATGTCTCAACATGGTTTGTTTGGGAATAAACACATGTGTGCATGAACTGGAACCTTAGTAGCAATACTTTCTGGCTCACCATCCTCCTCCTATGCCAACATGTGTCTCCTCTCTGCTTCGGCTTGGACAAGAGCATGCCTGCAGGGCACTTGGTGTTAACGACTGGCAAACTCCTTATGGAGAGCTGCCTGGTAAAACACACCATTGAATGCCTCAGCCACAATTGAATGAGAATAAAGAGGTGACAGGTCTCTACATGGAAATTCAACAAAAGGTAATAAAAAGGGAGGAAATGAGTTATAGGTGTGTTATGAGAGGGTCAAAAATGCACCCTCAAAGAACCATCTAGAAGGGATGGAACTGACAAGAGCAACTTGGAAGACTCGATAGGAGCCTTAGGGGCAGTACGTTCACCTTAGCGAGGGAGCAACAGCTCAGAAACGGAATGTCAGGGTGGTGGCACAATGTGCAGAAACTCGCATCGAGGCTGGTTTGCCGTGCTTAGTCTCAACAGCAGGAAAACAAAAGAGAGAGGTGGGTTTTGGTTTGTGGTTTTTTTTTCCAAATGCAGCACCACCTGAGATTGGATTTGACATTGAAGAACCAGAAAGCCTTCCTCTTCTCCCACGCCTTGACTGGGTGAATGAGAAGACTGGGAGTCGGAGAACACGTGAGGTTCCTGGGGACATCGAGGACACCTGAGCTGAGTCCAGGAAGATCCCTGGAGGCTAGGGGGGAAATCTGCACCAGAAGATGTCTTAAGACCAACCTTATCAAATCTTACAATAGTCACTAAAAAGTCTGGGGACCTCAGATTGCACAACCAGAGTTAAATCAAGGGCTCTTCGCGTTGGCAGCCCATAAGTGGGAATCCCTTTTTTTAAAAAAAGAGATTTAAAAAGACAGCTGCCTAAGCTTCACCCAAGAATTCCAAGCTAGGAGGTCTCTCGTGAGGGCCAGCACAGAGCACCAACAATTCTGTTACCCAGCCAGAAGGAAGAACTGTGCGGCTAATTCCTAGAACTGGGCTCCTACCCGCCTTTTAATCCACTCATTCCCCCCAAATTTTCCACTCCCAAGACCAACACCAATCTCCAATGGCTTAAGCCATAGATTGATGTGTTTTGCGGACCTTCCGTCATTCCCCGGGCTCCTTACTATATATACATTCCTCATCATGCGTCTACCTGTCTCCCAGCCAAGGCAGGAAAATGGATAGTTTGCACAAACGCATTTATTGAGGGATAATCTAACAAAAGAATCAGTGGGGTTGGTTTTTCCCTCTTTGTTCCTCCCAATAGCTCATCCACAAAGAATACTGTCTCAAGGAAGGGTCTCCCGTGACTGCACACTTGAAGCCACTGCCCCCCAAGAACTTCCGAGTCCGTGTGCCATCCTCCCCTCAGTAGGGCCGGCTCCTCCAAATCTGCCCGGTCGTTCTGCCAGGGTGCAAGCCCTCCATCGTTGGACCTTCACCAAGCAGTGAGGCAGGAGGACAATGATGAGGGCGGGGGGTTGGGGATTCAGCAGTAACACACTGCAGCGCAGGACACACAGAGTGGATCGTCTCTTGGAAACATAGATGACTGCTTTCTTCTCAAAATGCGTGCGTTGTTTTCGGTATTTCTCCCCCTGGCTTTTTCTCCAGTGGGTTGTTCTGTGCAGACCTTATAGCAGGCCAAACTGGGTGCTGGGGGGACGGGGAAGAAGAAACAAAGGGCACTTGTAAGAAGCATTTCCCGAAGAAATAGCAGCTATCCTTTACTGAGAAGGCAGTGATGGTGGAGTGGCAGAATTCTGGCCTTCCATGAGGGAGGCCTGGGTTCAATTCCCAGTCACGGCACCTCATGCACCCACCCGTGACCATCTGTCAGTGGATGCGTCTGTGTTGCTGCAGGGCTGAGCAGGTGTCGGCAGAGCTTCCAGACCGAGACAGACTAGATTGAAAACCAGCCAGGGAAAGCCCCAGGGGTCCCGACAGTCCCACTGCACTGTGCACGGGGTCCCCGTCCGTGGGGGCAACTCGATGGCAGCTACAAAAGCCATAGCAGCCCTTCCAGAGCTTTCCCCTGTGCCTGAGTCTCACATGCCTCACCCCCAGGGACCCTTACCCTCTGGGATGTGTGTACTAGGTTACTCACTGGGCGGCTAACCACAAGGTCAGCAGTTCAGAAACAGCAATGAGAGAAAGGTGAGGCTTTCTACTCCCATAAAGAGTTATTGTCTCAGAAACTCACAGGGGCAGTCCTATCCTGCCCCATGGGGTCGCTAGAGTCACATGGCCTTGATGGCAGTGAGTTTGGTTTTGAGAGCTCTCCAGTGATCCTCACCCTCCAAGATGCCCGTCTTATTATTATTCCCATTTTAAGGATGACGAAACTATGGTTCAAAAAGCTACGTTGCCTGCCCTCATCTAGCCAACTCCAAAGTTTGCCAGGTCTGCCAACTCCAAAGTTTATGATCGCACACACTGTGCTATACAGACTCAGAAAGGGCAAGGCACCCCTACATTCAAGTAAAATTAATCAACTGAACAATCAAATCAAAGGGATCTTCCTTATCCCTACATTGAAGGTCTCAAACTAGCCACTTGCGGGCCAGAGTTCTCCCACCAGCTTGTTTGATTGGGTGCATAGTGTCGTAAAATAGCTCAACCAGCCTATGAAAGCTTTCGTGTTTGTGGCCCTGGTCTCTCATCCCACTTGCTTTTGTCGATCCATTTCAAGAGATGTTGTTTTCCAAAGTTCACACGCAAGCACCTGTGACGTAAAGGCTGCTAACTGAAAGGTTGGCAGTTCAGGTCCACCCACCCATGCCATGGAAGCAAGGCTTGGCGACCTGCGTCCATCATGTCAGCTGGTTGCTGTCGATTCCTGCTCCTGGCCACCCATGTGTTACAGAGTAGAGTTGCTCCACAGAGGGTGCTTGGCTGTAATCATCTTGGAAGCAGATGGCCAGGCATTTCTTCTGCCGTGCACTGAGTGGGTCAGTAATCGTGGGCACCACCCAGGGACCTTCCCAGAAGATTATAGCATTGAAAACCCTATGGGGATGGGGCACAGCTCTCCTCCAACCTTCACGGAGTCACTGTGTTGGAAGGGACAGGACATCAGTGGGCTTGGTTTGGGTTGAGCACTGATCCTGGGCTTTAAAGTCACTATAGTACCATCTCTTGCTCAGAAGCTTTCTGCAAAGGATGTCACCCAGCTGGGTAAAACACGGAGCAGGAGCCACAGAGAGGCGGTATTAGCACGTCTCTGAGTTCCCGGATGAAGGTTGGCAGTTACTGTAGCCTCACATGGCTATAATGGAGAAAGGGGGTGAATCACTATATTCAACAGGGACTTTAGGGTGGAGCTAACATTCCACTTAGCGGAACCGGTCCACGTCATGGGTCTCACCCTTTCTTGGCAGAACCTGTCCTTGCTACCGTCAGCTGGGAGTCACGTGTCCTCACTGCCAGTGCAGTAGGAACAGACACACCGTCCATTCCAGCCATTCCCGTATCTCGCAGAGCATGGCTCCCTCATGAACTGGGCGCCTCCCATTGGGCTACAAACAGCATTGCGCTGGTGACCAGCTCATTCCTTTGTCCCTCCCCCTACTCACTCCACTGCAGGGTGCCCTGGGGAGCTACAGAAGTGTGAGCAATGAGAGAATATGAGCCAGACTCTGGATTGATACATGAAACTCAGCATGTAGTCTGCCTAGCAGTTATAAGACTAGGTCAAGGTACAAAAAGTCCCGGCATTAACATTTTTAACATTCAGAGATCCTACTTGAACATTTTGATAGGAAGGGAAAGCATTCCTTGCAAGAAAACACTTGTTTGAAGCACTTCACGTGCTCTCGTTATGGGGTTGTGTGTAACGAGGGGTCCGTGACCTGTTAGGAAAGTCTGGGTCCTGTTGAGGGAGGCACAGGAAGTGGAGTCTGGTTTACACTCGGGAGTCCCCGGGGGGTTCACACAGTCAGGGTGCTCGGCTGCTAATGGAAACCTTACAGGCTTGAATCTGCCCCGAAGCCCATTGGGGCTATTTCCCCAAAAAACAGCCATTCAAACCCTACTGACACGCAGAGGGCTGTGTTGAGTCCGAATCAACGGCACTGACAAAGCTCCCTGGCCCAGATGACGTTGCCCCTTTTGTCCATCTCTATCAGTGACCCTGAAGCCCCCCGACGATGGGTGAAGGTAAGTTCGTGCTACTCTTGTGTCCATCGGGGCTTCTGTTTCTTGGATAGACTCTTGTTACATAGGAAAAAGCCTTTGACCTCAGGAAACGGCTCCCCCGGGGAGCCTGGCCAAGTGGACAGTCCAAGGGTTGGCCACATCCTTCCCACCCCTTCTCTCTCCCCTGGACACCTAGCTCGGCTGTGACCCAGAGCCATCCTCACCATGGTCATGTAAGTAGCCTCGGGGTTTCCAGCCGACTCTTCTTCCTCAGTCACCTCCTGTGGACTTATTGAGAAGTAAACATGTTTCTAGAGAGAGAGAGGGAAAAAAGCAAACCATTTCTGAAAACCGTACATGTCAGAAAAAAAGTTCAACACTCCAGGGCATTGACTTCCAGTACCCATTGGTTAGAGAGTTATTGGGAGCGAGAGAGAATTCTCCTCTCTAACGACCACTTAGGACCAGCTGTTTTTCAGACTCTCTGATCAGGAAAGAGCACCATCTATGAACCAACTTCCTTGCCTCAAAGGCAAACATGCGTATCTATCAATGTTCATTGTACCACTGTTTACGAGAGTCAAAAGGTGGGAATAACCCACGTGTCCATCAACAGGTGAACAGATCAACAGAATGTGCTCTGGTGCATGCCACAGCACACTCAGAGATGAGCCTTGGAAATATTACATTAAATGAAACCAGTCAGACACCAAGGGGAAAATATCGTATGATCCCGCTTACGTGAAGTATGTGGAAGAGGCAAACACAGAGACAAAGGTAGATCAGTGGTTAATCTCTAACACTGCCACCGGGCGATACTGACTCATGCCAACCCTATAGGACAGGCAGAACTGCCCCAGTCTTCAAGGCTGCAACTCTGCCAGAGTAGAAAGCTTCATCTTTCTCCTACAGGGCGACTGCTGGTTTTGAACTGCTGACCTTGTGGTTAACAGTAACCAACATATAACCCACTATGCCAAGGGCTGGGGAGAGGACAAGCAATGATTGGTATTCTGTGGTAATGCCCTTGGCCTTGAATGCAGGCAGAGTGGCATTCTCCAGCAGCGAATTGTCATCATCCCTCTGTATGAGTGGCAGTGATCCTGGAGGGCCCTCACTTCTGGGAGGCCGATGGCACTTTGTGGTTCGCATTGCTGTCACTGTTTAGGGAAGTGATGTCACCCCGTGATAAAGCCTTGGTCTTCTGGAGGTCATGTTGGGAGAAAATGCTACTGATTGGACATAGCCCAGAAGATGGAAACCAAACGAAACCAAACCCATCGCCATAGCAACCCCACGGGGTAGAGGACAGCTGCTCCTTTCCCAGGCTGCGGGTCACTCTGGGCTGGCATTGACTCGATGGCAATGAATTTGGTTGTGGTTTGTTTGTTTTAGAAATCTTCACAGGAGCAGACAGCCCCACCTCTCTCCTAGAGCGCAGCTAGTGGGTTTGAACTGCTGACATTGTGGTTAACAGCCCACAGCTTCTTCACGATGGAAAGGTTGCGCTTTAAAGAGAAGTTCAGAGAAAGATGACCAATAGTATTCCACGGAGACGGATCCATTGTCTCAACCTGCAAAAACCAGTTCCTGTCAAGTTGACCTTGACACATGGCTGCCCGTGTGCGTCAGGGTAGAACTGGGCTCCTTCCCGGTCTCCAGTAGCTGGTTTTCCAAAGGAGGGGCTCCAGCTTGTCTTCCAAGGAGGCTCTGGGTGGACTCACACTGCCCATGTTTCTAGCAGCAGCTGGGCGGGTTAGCTGTTGGCATCACCCCGACGCTCCTTGTTCATCCCCAGCGGCCCTTACCTCTTGCTCTATCACACATTCGTAGGGAGGGGAAGTGCTTTGAGGGTCCTTCCTCTCCAAAAATGCCTGTTACAGGTGGAATTGTAGCCCCTTCCCCAAAGGTAGGATGAGGTCCTAACCTCTGAGAGCTAATGATGTGACCTTGTGTGGATGTTGGGTCTTTAAGGATGCTATCAGTTAAGTTAGCGTGAGGTTCCCTGTGGAATAAGATGGGTCCTGATCCCACCAAGCGGTGTTGTTAGGGGCCCTGCGGACGGCAGAACAAAACACTGCTCCAGCTTGTCCTTCTTTAAAAAAGGAGAACTGCAGAGACAGGAAGAATGGCTATGTGAAGTTACATCTATAGGCAAAGAATGCCGGGGCTACCAGAAGCTAGGAGAGAGCACAAAGGTTCTTCTCCTAGAGCCCTGGGGGGGGGGGGGGCTGAATAACATGTATATTTGGGCTCCCAGTGTCCAGAAGTGTGAGAAAATGTACTTCTATTCCTTTACTGCCACCAACTTTGTAGTCCTTTGTTAGAGCGGCTCTAAGAAGTTAATGAACGCCCTGACTATGTCTTCTTGACCACTGACTCCCGAACATAGGACAATGATTCTCCCTCTAACGACACAGAGCCTCATAGCAGCTTCATATCATTTTATCTGAGCCTTCCAAGCAAATGTATGATATAGGCAGGCAGAGATTTGTGGCCTTGTCCCCCTTCTACTGACGAGAATCCTGACGCTCAGGGAGGTGGGAGTGCTGGGTTTGAGCCCAGGCTTCCCAATCCAAGTCCATTGCGCTGGATCCTCTGCCCACTGTTGGAGTCCACTGCCCTGGCCTGGCTTGGTGCTCCCCACCTCACCCCAGCACATCCCAGCTCACACCTGGAGGCTTTTATTTCAATGATCAAGAGTGGGCCCTCTGTGTCTGGCAAGGGCCTAGGGAGCCATCACGATGAGCAAGACACGGGCCACAGAGGGGTAAGCATAATGCTTCCCTTAACCTCATTTCTCCCTGCACCTGCGCCCTCGCAGACACCTTCCCACGAGAGAGAATCCTCTCTTACCTCTGGGTTCACTTTCTGGGTGGCATCCAGGCTTTTGGCCAGGCTTGTAGATGTCACGGAACTGCAAGGCGTGAAAAACAGGTAGATTAACTATCCAGTGCTACACATACAAAGGTGCCAACCAGGGACCCTGCCCCCTCTTCCTGCCCTACTACCTCCCCAACATACATCGGTTTGAGGCAGGAGACTCAGCACCTAGAATAATCCCCAAACCAAACTCCCTGCCATCAAGGTGGGAGTCTGAGACCGCCCCTCTTTACAGGAGTAGGAAGTCTCAGCTTTCTCCTGCAGAGTGGTTGATGGTTTCAAACCAGCAGCCTTGCAGTTAGCAGCCCAGCGTGCAACCATGGTGCCAGTTGTTCTTTATTCCGACAGCCCAGGTGCGGCCCAGCTCACCTTGGACGTGAGAACGCATGCTTTCCAGTCGAGGATGGGAAGCCATGCTCGAAATCGGTTAGACCGAAAAACAGCTTCTACAGCTACCGACTTTCTGTTCATAACAGGAGATGTCATTTTAACTGACTGAACAGAGTGGGGCCATGAGGTAAGACTCCCTTCCTGGATATTTTAAGAGACGAGACACTGTGTGCTGAGGCTGGAATATCATTCTCACCGAAAGCCAAGAGGTGAATGAAACAGGACGCCAGCCACCACTGACTTGGGCAGTTGCCATAAACTGTCCCTCCCCCATCCCTGCCCTCAGCCAACACTGGGGACCCCTGGGAGGAAGCAAAGCCCCTTGACAGCTAGAAACACTTTCAATTGCCACAGCCCAAAGGGAAACTGCAATCTCCCCAGCCCCACCCCACTGCCAGGGATGTATGTCTCCAGCTCTCCCCCAGAAAACCCGCCCCTTTAAAAAGACTTGGATCCGCATCGGTTACGCTAAGTGTGGATTATTTGAAACAAGTGCTCTTCTCAACTGAGGGCTAAGTGTAGAGATGTTGCCTTTTTTTTTTTTTAAGGAGCTTTCTGACAGTGGTGGCACAACCCATGGCTCACGGTGAGGGCCTAGTCACCCATCTACAAAGGCAGCTCAGAGAAAAGGAAGTGGAATCAACCCATGCTGGACCCCGGCGGCCTGGTGGTTACACGCTGGCCTGCCACGGAAAGATCCGCCGTGGACAGCACCAACTGCTCCATGGGAGAAATCTCGTGAAGAGGAACGGCCTCCGGAACCCGCAGGGGCAGTTCGGCCCTGTCCTGCGGGTCTCTGAGTTGGCTTTGAATTGACAGCAGGGAGCTTGGTTTGGGGTCTCTTCCTGGGGCCAGGCTCATTCCATCTCATTTATCTCCCCAGAAGAGGTGTGAGGTTGGGAACATCTATGTGGCACAGATGAGCATCGCTGAGCATGTGAAACTCTCCTTCGTCTATTGCATTGCCTTAAGAGTCTACTGACCCACCGCCATGTGACTCATCGTGACCCCGTGTGACAGAAGAGAGCTAGTGGGTAGAGTTCCTCAGAATATAAATCCCTATCGGAGCAGACAACCTCATCTTTCCCCCTCAGAGGGACTGAGGTGCCAGCCCTGTGGTGAGAAGCCTCCATGCTTTGCCCACTACATCATCAGGACCCCTTAGAAAAGTAGGCAACTCATAGCAGCCCCCTGGGGGTTCGGAGACTGTAACTGTTCACAAGAGCCTACTCTCTCCCCCAAGGAGCTGCTGGTGGTTTCCAACTGCCGAGCCTGAGGTCGCAGCCCAATGCAGCCCAATGCTTGTGCTCATCAATGCATGGCGCTGGTTTCTCTGTGGAGGTCAATGGACTTTATCAGCATTTCTGAAAAGGACTAATGAGAGTCGCCGACCAGCAGGGGGCAGCAGAAATTCAGCAAGCAGGAGGAGGCCAAGCGGAATGGTCCTCACAAACACAAGCTAGGAGATCTGGCCCCATGCCCCTTGGTCAGCTGCTGACCCTTGACCCCTGATCATCTGTTCTCTATGTTTGCCACTGCATGTGCATGTCCTGCTTTATCTGAGGTGACGCTGAAATACAAATCAGGAGTAAAGCTAGAAAAGAAATGTTAAAGTGTGTTTTTTTTTTGTCCCAAAGCAGAAATGTCTTCCCTGTGTCTTCTGATTATAAAGTTGTATGTTGTACATCGTAAAATAATTCAAGTAGCATAGAAATGTAAACAAAGTACCCACTAAACTCCTCACCCCAAATATCGTTGTGATTAGTTTTTTAGAATTATCCTTCCAAATCTCGCTCAATATAAGCAAAAGTTTATTCCTACAAATAATTTCTAAACCCAAGTTGACTAATTCTTGGCTCGGTGCTCCCAGCACTTCAGAGCAAGGGCCCTGGGGAGACCAAGCAAGTCCAACACCAAATAGGAGCACCCTTGGGAGTGGAATGAAGTCCTAGCAGGCACAAGTGCTCCTGCTGACCCCGTGTTTGGGGGGTGGGGGTGGAGAACACTCAACAGTCCCACTGAGGACTCAAAACTATTACTTAGTCCTACCAGGGGCCCTTGCCTGTTGACACTATTTCAACAAGAGACCATTTGTCCTAAATTGGGAAAAACTCTATGACATAAGCAAAGCTTGAGGGAGGGAGTCGCTGGGACTAGAGGCTCAGAACCATAGCCTCGTGGGATACTGAAGTCAATTGGCATGGTCCACAAAGACAGCATTGGACATTATCTTGATGAGTAACCGCTGGGGTCTTCAAAGTTGGTGAACAGCCTTCTCGGTAGCAACGATTGGTTTCTCCCCATCCAGAGGAAGGAGAGCGATGGAGATGGAAACAATTATTCCAACTGAGACACATAGGGAAACACCAGTCTGCACCTCCCTGAGACCGGACGTACCAATGGCGCCCGGCTATCACTACTAACAGCTCTGAGAAACATCAAATTAGAAGGTCCTGGATAAAGTGGGGGGAAAGTGGGGGGAAAGCGTGGAACAAAACTCAAAATCATGAAAGAGTCCAGGCTTCGTGCTTGGATAGAGACTGGTGTGGCCTGCAGGACTACGGCCCTTAGACACCCTTCAGGTCTGGAAGTGAACTCCCCCCGAGTTAGAAGAATCAACCCTCTGGAGTCTAGACCTAGGACAGTACTTACCCAAGGATGAAGTTCAGAGAATGAGGAAAGAAGAGAGGGGGTGGTACATTGAGGGCAATGCCATGAATGAGCTGAAACAGAATGTATATAAATTGTTGGATGTAAATCTACTCTGTTAACCTAGACCTCACTCACAATTAAAAAGACGACCGAGAGACCATTTTCCCTGCCATGTTTCTTCAACCGTTGGTACAGTGAGGGATATGAACCTGCCAGCAACCACTGAAATACAACTGCCAGAGAGCTGGACCTTCTGGATCTCTGAAAGAAATGCTGATGAAAGTCAGGCCTTGAAAACACACTTCAATGCTAAATCATTTAAATTCAGGGCATCCATTCAAAACTCGCCTATCTTATTATTATTAGTTGTTGTTGTTGTTTTCTGAATTAAACAGCAATCACCCCTCAAGACCTGAGCTTCTAGATGATGTGCATTTCAGGCACTGGGTGGCACCATGGCAGTTCTTATCAAAGATTCACCTTTGTCATCGTCCTCTGCCTAGACCACTACTCTGCTTGGCATCGTTACCTGTGTACGAGACCAAGGCAAAGGAGTGAGGCGTGTGCTGGGCACAGCTTCTTGGGAGCCCGTGAAGCAAAGGTCAACCTGAGGTGACCACAGATGACGTGCATCTACAAGACCACCGTGGATGGCTCTAGTCAAACATGCGCTCGTGAACAAACAGAATGTCCATCAGCAGAATGCTGAGTAAGGAAACCGCGGTAGACACCCAGTGTAACATTATGCAGCCGTGCAGATAAACCTAGAAGACAATTATGCTAAAGACTATGAGCCAGCTGCAAAAGGCCTGAGACTATAGGGTCTCACTTAGAAGCAAATAGGTAGAAGTCGTTAATGGGCATGAGGAGTTGGGGGAAGGGATGAAGAGGGGGGATTTTTGAGGGGCACTGAGTGTATGTGGATGGTGGTGGAATACTTCGGGGGCGGGGGGATAGCAAAAATGGTGACACAACATGGACAATGCATGATGATCACTGACTTGTTACATGTAGACGTTAAAGGTCCTGCTCCATACTAATCCAAAGTGCAAAAAAATATCCGTGAAAAGAAAAAGAAAAACTAACTGTGAAAATGAGAGTTAGGGCGCTATCACTAGAGACAGCGCTGTACCCCCAGCTTCCCATCTCCTGTACCTCTTGGTCCTGCGGGTCCTCTTCATGATCAATAGCAGAACCGCAAGCAGCAGAACTGTAGTGCAGACAATGCCCACAATGACCACGAGCTGATTACCCGCCAGGAGCCCGGGTGGAAGGGCTGCTGGGGTCACCATGCCTGGCAAAGGAGAAACGCAATGCAAGGTGCTCAGTTCTGCAGGCAAGAGCCTCGGTCGTCCAGGTAACAGCCCGATGCAAAGCACCAGGAGCCAGCCAGGACGGGCTAGACTGCACCATACCGAGACACTGCCCCCAGAGATGGAGGACCCAGGCCTGACCCCGAGTTTCCCCTAAGATGTCAATTGGGGCAGTGGGAGCAGAGCCCAACAACATCTCACCTATGCTCCGGTTTCCTTTCACAAGAACAATTCTATTTTTAAATGTGCTTCATCTGACTTACAAAGGCAGGCATTACAGAGGCTGCTAATTGTTTTCCAGAAGAAAGCATGCTACAGCCCTCAGTAGCCCACGCCCAAGCAAGGCTTTAAAGAGGTATTCCACCTTGCTCTTTAACTCTTCTCCCTCTACACGTGCAGGGTGTGCACGGGTCAGATGCTGTTCTCGCCAACACGGCCAGGTTCTGGGGACACACAGGCGAGTGATGCATCGCGCCTACCCTCAAAGGGAGACAGACACACAAACAGAAAACCACAACCGATCACAGCTGCTGTGAAAAAAGGTCTCTAATGGAGTGTAGAGAGGCACAGAGCAAAAGCGGCCAGTCTCTATGAGAATGTGCCGGCAATCGGTTTAAGTTTAAGCTGAGTCTTAGAGGAAACATCAAGTGTGTTGGGCAGACAATAGGGGAAGAGGTGAGTGAATGCGATGCAGTCGTCTGGAAACTTGACAGGACGGGGCTTTGGGGAACTGTAAACAGTCCAGGAGACGTGATGCACAGATTACATTTGTGGGCACGGTGAGAAATGAGGCTGGATCGATAACAGGGCCCCGCTCATGAACAGTCTTCATCATGTCAAGCAGGAGCTTGGCTTAGAGAAGCTTTAGGGACTGAAAGACTACACACCAACTCAACCCAACTCACTGCCATTGAGCCCATTCCAACTCCCAGACCCGGCAGGACAGGGTCCAACTGCCCCTGCGGGTGTCCGAGACGGCAACTCTTTACAGGAGTGGAAAGCCTCCTCTTTCTCCTGGGAAGCAGATGATTTTGAACTGCTGGCCCAGTGGTTAGCAGCCTCGGGCTTAACCACTAGGAATTCAGATTTGTTCAGATCCGTGGCTTAGCAGGATGGCCCTGCTCGCAGCAGCATAAGGAGGGAGCAGGATGACTGGGAATGGGAACAAAGACGCACACGAGGCCGACAGTCCGGCCCAGAGACAACTCCGGAGGTCACGGTGAACTGGCCGGAAAGACACCCTCAAACGTCGGCTACAGGAATGACTGAATTTGCTCACCTGTTAGATGAGAGGTCGCAGCAAAAGCAATCACGTAGAGCTTCAGGGCATCCAGTTGGGGGCTAACTGATGTTGAGAAGATGGGCTAGGAAGTGGGGCGCAAGTATAGACTTGGATAGGGTGCCACTGAAGTACTTTTGAACGTGCAGGTGCAATTAGCCAGAGAATAAGTACCTAGTACTACTAAGGTAAAGAAGGCCAAAGCTGGGAAATTAGACGCCCTCGGTAGAGGCGGACACAGACCCCAGCATGCAGTGCACCAAAGTTACTATAGTTAGTAGGTGGGCAGTCTGACTCTGTCAAGACTGCACGTCGCATTGACGGTGGTGATCCGCACACCCTGACCATCCTGAAAACCATTGAGTGGCACCAGTCACATGGGTGAGTTAGGTGCTTTGCGAATTCTGTCTTCCTAAAGTGGATCTGTTTGTCTCTGTTTGTTTTTCAGAAACACGCGGGATACAACAGAAGTCAACAAGGGCAAGGGGCAAGGAAGGCTGGAGCATGCTCACACATGGGATGGTAGAAGCCAGAAGAAAGTGAGAACGTAAAGATCTGGGCGAGCCAGGTTGGGAGGTTCTGGAAGAGGAGGTGCCCTGTAGCCTGGGCCCAGGTCCAAATGAGCACCGTCTGCCTCAGGATGGCAGGGAAGAGACAGGAATGGGGGCAGATGTGAATCTGAGTGTGGGTGAGGACGGCTTGGAAGTCAAGTGAGCCCTCACTAACAGTTTGTATTCTCTCAAGACTTCTGACAGGGAAGGAGCCCTGGTGGAGCGGCGGGTTGTACGTTGGCCTGCTAACAAGGTCAGCAGTTCGAAACCACCAACCCCTGGGGGGGCGGGGAGGAATGAGGCTTTCTACTCCTGTAAAGATGTACAGTCTTCCAAATCTACAAGGGCAGCCCTGACCCACCCTCATAGGGTCACTCCGCATGGCAGGACGTTTGGTTTGGTTTTCCTAAAAACGAAGACTACCTAGAGAGGGCAGTTCTTTAACCAATCCAGCTGGTCTCCTTCCCGTCCAGCTGCGACCCTTTGTCGTTAATGAGAAGGAGCCTCCATCGACTGAAATCTGACCCCAGGGTATCGAGAAACCCATCCATTCTCACACACACCCCACTCCCCACCCCCACCCCCCATACACAACCAACAACCCCCGTCAACCACAACCCACTCCTGGGGCCTGAGCGAGAAGTCAAGTCCACAGGCCACATCCTGGCTGCTAACTGGGTTAGGGTTTGACTCGATCAACCTCTCTCCAACAACATTTGACTGTGCTCTCCGGCACCCCACTGGCCTTAAGTCACACTGTTTACCAGAACATAGAACCTTGGATCAGAAAACCCCTCCAGCTCCAGTTCCGCTTCCTTTCTGGCTTCTCTGCATCCCTGGCTCTCGCTCACCAGCTGCGATCATTTTCCCTCCCACTACAGGGCAACTAGCGTTTGCCTTGTGGGTGGGGTGGGGGTTACTCTGGACATTAACCCTGGTCCACCTCTGAGCTCCTGTGCTTTTAAATCAGTAGACAGCCCTGGTCATGAGGCATATCGGGCATAGCTAAATATCAGCTCCGGCACTAGGGTGAGGGGAGAGAGGTCCCCACGTAAGGAAGCACTCACCCTCCAGGACAGAGTGGGCACCTGAGGGTGAGTGACTCCTGCGCGTGGTGCCCTCGTCACCTCTCTGGCCTCCCTCTAGTCCTGGCCTTGCCCACCAGCCAGGCAGTCCCTCCTTCCTCCCCACCGGAGGCTCCGTACTTCTAGGCTCCCTCTGGAGCACGTGGAGCACCCAGGCCTTCTGGACCTCCAGGTTTCCCAGGCGGATTCTGCAGGTGTAGTTCCCTCGGTCAGACTCCTCCACTCCTCGGAGCACGATGGAGCCGTCTTTTCGGGAAATGTCCCCCACCAGGTTTACACGGGTCTGGAAGCGCCCCTGGTTCTGGGGGGAGCCCACCGGCACCGGGCGTTTGGAGTGATAGTGGAACACTGTCTCCTTCTAGATGGGAGAGACAAAGAGTACGCGGTTACCAGGACGGGGGACTCAGGGAAAGAGGGCTCGGGCGGGCGGGGAGATCTCAGGACTCAAAAGCCGTGTATGTGTGGGCGGTGGAGGGCTAATCGGAAAGGATCATGTCCACACGTGTGTGTACATCCACATAGGTGTGAATGCAGAGATAATCCCTGAAAGGAAGGTGCCATCAAAATCATGAACAATTGCTAAATCTCAAGAGAGGAAGGAGGGAAAAGAGAAGGAGGGACTGTCACTTTTTACATGGCTCCAATTTTAAAAAGTACACTTTTATTTTTTAATGACTTTTTTGGTTGGCCACCTGAAACGTGTGCAAACCTGAACTCCTAGACCTTGTCCTCCCCTCCTCACCTTCCCCTCCCCCACCACCTGGGTCTTTCCAGTCCATCCCACTTGGATCAATGGCAATGCCTCCATGCAGATGCTCAAACGAAAAGTACTAGAATCACCTCGCTCCTCTCTTCCTCAGAAACCTCACCCTCGATCCCTCGGCAAATCCTATCACCTGTCCTAAAAGTGTATTCTGAGTCCGGCCCCTACTCACCTCTCACCTGCCTTCCTGCCGCCGTCTCCTGGATCATGTGAGTAAGGAGCTGGGTAGTTGGAAACCCCCAGCTGCTCCACGGGAGAAAGATGAGGCTTTCCACGCCCATAAAGGGCTGCGATCTTGGAAACACACAGGCACGGTTCTGTCCTGTCCTTCGGGGTCACTAGGCATCAGGAATGACTCAACGGCAGTGGATTTTGAGACCTCTAGTCTCAGCAGATGAGCCAGACGAGGCTTGGGAAGTATGACTTAAATCAACAAACTACAATGGCCCCCATTTCTACTCAAATGACGATGTCAGACGTGATGTGGCATAGCCCCTCATTTCCTGTTCCTCTCTGACTCCTGCTTCTACATGACCACTTTCCCACTACTGACCTCTTCACTCCACTCACGCCAGCCTTCTTGCCATGGTGTGAGGACTGACCTCAGGGCCTTTGCACTTGCTGTTCCCGATGCCTAGAACGCGTTTCTCCCAAGACACACCCTCAAGCCTCGGCTTAAATGTCACCTTCTCGGGGAGGCCTACCTGGCACCTATATAAAGTGATCACCACCATAGCCTGCTATGTCCCATCCCCTTCTCTTGTTTTATGGTTCTCCGCGGCTTCCACCATTGTTATTATGTATTTATTTCTTCATTAGTTTACTGCATCAACCCCTTCATCTTTATCATCAGGCCCCATTAGGACAGAGGCTCTATTTTGTTTACTTGAACGAATCCTCGGTGACCAGAACAGCGTGCACCAACTAGAAGCTGCCAATGTTTGCTAAATGAATTTCTCATAAATGCCTGTGTGTACCATCTCTCTTGAGAATGCATTCATGACGCAACAGTGGCTATACAGACACAAGCATAATTGGAAAGAACTGGCCCATGACCTTTCATTCCTTAGAATTCAAATTCACAACCTCAAAATGTCAACTTTGAGCCTTTTTCTACTATGAGCCACCTGATGAATGGCACAGGCATGACAAGCTCCCGGGGGACCTGGGACTATGTATAATCCCCAATGCCATCGAGATGCCACCCTTTCCAACCTACACATAAGGGAATCAAGTGCACATGACTTTGTTATAGGCGCTTCCTGGAATATGTTAATGTGTTATCAACTGTGCACCTAACTTTTTATTCATAACAAACTACCTGGACTGTGCCTCAAAACACATCTTGACTGATGAGTGCCTCACTGCTGCGCGGTTGAGTCGGACTACTGAACTACCTTGTTGTTTACTCTCTCAGCGTCTCTGTGAAATGCCGCTGCCCTCAGCTCCCAGGATCCCAGCATTTCAACATCCCTGGGGACCAAGAAGACGCCTTTCATGACATACCGAGGTGATGAGGCGTAAAAGAGAACCACCCCAAATGATCCTTTATCACGAAGACACCAGTCTTATGCCGAGACCGCAACTTTCCTGGATAAACTGAAAACCAACCTCACAGAAGCAAAGGAACGTAAAATACTCAATGGAGTGTCCAAGCCCAGTGCAAAGTGTCCCAAACACATCAATGCTTTGAGAACCCCCAAAGCGCAGCATTGTTTTTACAGACACCTTTCTCACGAGGTAGCTGGACTTGCTAGAAGGAAGACCAGTTCTGTGTGGTTCCCACACCTAGGTTCTCACCCCACCCACACAGCGCCTGGTAACTAGATTCTCCTCTGCCCGCGCAGGCTGGAGCTCACTGGCCAGGCTCATCTCCTGTGCAGTGCTAGGTCCCTTCCCTTACCTTAGCATGCTCTCCGGACGAAAACACCCAGCTTAACTCAGTCACGTGTTTCTCCTCTGTGCTATGGAAAACACACCCCATCACAGTTGACTCGCCCACGTGGACCGTGAGCTCTGGGAAGAGAAACAGTAAATGAAGTCAAAGCCAAGGTGTGATCTATAAACGCCCAAGGTCTTCAGAAGACACCGTGTTTAGCCAAAGACCTTCGGCAGTCAAACCAATGTCCCTACCAAAGACTGCACACACCCCTCCAGAGATGGTAAAGATGGCCCTCTGTAACCAAGTGCCGAAAGGCCTTTCGCTGGAACCCAGCGTCGCGTCCCAAGGATCAGAGAATTCAGAATGCTCGACCATAGTTGAAGAGTCTGCGGGTTTCCTCCATCTTCACACTGCAATCGACAGTCTCCAAACAACAAAACCCGATGGCTCTTGAGCCCGTTCCAACGCCTCGTGGCCTCGTGGAAGAGAGTACAGCTGCCCCGTCGGGCTGTGCAAGGCTGTGCGTCTTTAGAGAGGTTTTGGAGGCGCACTGACCTTGTGGGGAGCAGGGGAGCATGTGACCACTGTGCCTGCCAGGCAGCTGACCAGTCGCCAAACCAAACTCACTGCCATCGCGTCGATGCTGACTCAGAGTGACCCTCCAGGACAGGGCAGAACTGCCCCGTGGGCTTCTGAGATTGTCACGCTTTACAGAATTAGAAAGCCCCATCTTTCTCCCTGGGAACAGCTGGTGGTTTTGAACAGCACACGTTGCAAAGGGGCAACCCCTATAATTCCCTTTTCCCGGAATCCCTCCTCCATGAAGTCCAATTCCACAGCAAGCCTACACTAAAGAAATTACAGAAATCTTGAAGCCTCCACTTTCCGGTCACCAAGATCTGGTCACTTCTGCTGAACATAAACAGGAAGTGTGGAAAATTACATAGCTCTCATTCATACATAGAAGTCCCTGGTTCTCCTAGCCGAAAAAAATTAAGAGTGATGTTCTTCAACTCCCTCCTCCTCCTCCTCCTTTGTTGTCTATGTCTTGCTGGCTAGTCCTGGCAACGGTACAGGTCACAGGACTCCCTGCTAATCAGGCCAAGGCAGCAGATAGCTTTCTCCTGGACTTTGCTGCTTCAATCCCTGCCCCCACCTGACTCCCACCTGACCACCCCTTCCTCATTCTTTCCAGGCTCTTTCCTCTCCCTATTTATTTATACAAGTAGTCTGCCTCTAGCATATGCTTACTGCCTGCGTCCTGAACAAGGAAAACAGTGAGGCAGATGTTTCTAACTTTTCAGTCATGGGCGACACACATCAACCACCTAGTCAATGAAGAAACGACAGGCAGCGGTACCTAGAGAGGCACAAGCCACGGTTGTAACTACAGAGTTTCTGCAAAAGAGGGTCAAGCAAAGCTCCCAAGGGAACAAACACAGGGAGTAAGCCAGCCCTTTTATCCCTTTTATCCAAGCTGTTTCCCTGCATGGATATTAACTTCCTGCCCCACCAGGGAGGGGAGAAAAAGAAAACATGAACACCAAGTTCCCTGGAGGGAGTTATTTCTAAAGAAATAAAAAAGTCACTCCAATGAAGACCAGGAGGAAAGGCTGCTGGTGCCGTTGCTGAGTACCACGGAGCAGGTCCCGGTTCACAGCAGGCCTGCAGGATGCAGGAGAACTGCCCACAAGGCTTCCTCCAAACCCATCAGCACATTAAGAAGGCAACGCCTGGGTATCCTGAGACCTTTCAAAGTACCGGGCACGTGCCAGACACCTTATAAGTAGGGCATCACGATACTCATCATTACGATACTCAGTGTGTGCACTGCCACTGCCCTGTTTTACAGACAAGAGAGCCTAAGCAGCCCAGAGCCACACGGCCAGTCAAAGGTGGAACGCAAGCCCTCCGATCCAGACCTGATAAAAACGAAGCCCCAGCTTTCTCACTCGCTGTCCCTCACCAGCTCCGTAAGCCAGGGGTGCTCAGCCTTCCTCATGCGCGACCCTGTCATACAGCTCCTCATGTGGCGGTGACCCCCAACCATAAAGTGATTCTCATTGTTACTTCATCACTGTCATTTTGCTACTATTATGAATCATCATGGCAATATCTGATATGCAGGATGTATTTTCATTGTTACAAATTGAACAGAATTAAACATGATTAAAGCATAGTGACTAATCACAAAACAATATGTACTTCAATATTGTGAAATAGTTATGTGTTTTCCGATGGTCTTGCTACCCCTGTGAAAGGGTCATTCGACCCCCAAGGGGGTCGCGACCCACAGGTTGAGAACCGCTGTTGTAAGTGGCGGTGGGGAGGCTGATTCTACCGCAGGAAGAGTGCAGCAAGCTAATCTTACTTTTATTTGCAGGAAGATTGACCATAGTATTTAGAGTAAGAAATTGTAGTCATGGACTCCTAGGGAAACTGAGGACTGACGGCTGTGTTTTGTAGAGAGAATAGTAGCTGACTGTGAACACCGACGTCTTCACGTGACATGAGGTGCCCTCCCTGGGTGAGAGGGTGGCTTCTCACAGAGTCCCTAGACAAGGAGTTAGGGGTTCTGTCTCGTTCCTCTTGAGCTGTAAGGGCAGAGAAACAAACCAATGAGAGCTGCTTCCCTGGCGACTGGGAAATAGCTAACTGCTTGTAAAGTTGTTCTAGCCTGTTCCATGAACTCTTCAACTCGTTTTAAGTGATTGGCTCCTTTCAGGGCCCTCTTTGCCTCTTCTAAGGAGTCAGTCATGGGGGTAGACTAGGTCAAGTGTTGGGCTACTAACCACAAGGTCACCAGTAAGCCCAGGAGTAGACTGTCCCAGGAAACCCGAAGGACCAAGTCCACTCTGTCCTACAGCACGGCTCACAATGAGTCAGAAGTGATGGTGGTGGGTGTGTAGTGCTTCCTCTAGGAATCCGTGGGTGGTGTAATTGCTAATGCACATGGCTTCTAACCAAAAGTTTGGGGTTCAAGTCCACTCAGAGGCACCTCAGAAGAGAAGCAATCTACTTCAAATAAATAAATAAAAATCAGTCCTTGAAAGCCCCAGGGAGCACAGGTCTCTCCTGACACACAGGCTGGCCCAGAGTCGGAGTCAACCTGACGGTAACGTTGAACTTGACGGTAACTGTTGTGGGTGTCTCCACCAAGCAGGGAAAGACGTCTGTGTGGTTGATTTTGCCAGTGTTGACAGATGTTCAGCCCGCCAAGCAGCAAAAGGTGCCCATGTTGTAGGCTGAGCTTGTGCGGGCCCCGTGAAAGAGCGCAGGCACCAAGGGGTACACAGTAATTCTCGAGAGCTCGGGTATCTGATTCATGTTTTGCTTCCTGGAGAAGCACACACTTGGAAGAAAGAGAAAAGTGATAGTGGGGGTGGGGGGTGAGGGGCAGGGAGTGGAGGTTAAAAAAAAAGGAAGAATGGCTCAAGGGCAAATCGCATGCTCCTTCTGGAACTGGGTTCTTTAGGAGGCAGACTCTAGTGAGAGGTTCTATTCAAGACATGCATTCTTTGGACAGTGCTTACTGCTTGCTGACACGGTGTTCAGGGCAGGCCAGGGGCATGAAGAGCCCAGGCCCAGGGGAACAGGGCAGGCACAGTGAACAGGTGAGATGAGGAATGTTGCAGAGGAAGAAGGTGAGAGCACCTTAGAAGCATGTGGGCCCATTCTAGTGGTGTGGGGGGCGCTCAGAGTCTCGCTCAGTGAGCAGCCTGCCATGCTTGCTAAGGGACCACCTGGGTCCACTTGTTGCGTGCAAGTGGAAAGAAATGCAGCAATAAGAAAACGGGTTCCGTCTGGTCACTAACACCCGTGAACCTGGTTCACAGGAACTAAAGAAGATGAGAGTGGGTTGGCTGAAGCTGATGGCTTAACCCAAGGAGGCTAAAATTTGTTTACAAAAACTCTTGTGACAGAGCCCATGGTCAAAAGTGAGGCAGTCCTCATTGAGTTGACCAGAACCCGACCAGGTGAAGGGAAGATTTTTGAGCCTGTGAACTGGTGCATCTTGCTGCGGACTTTATGGACGGCCTGTCCTGATTTGACTTTGCTTATGGATGCGGACTCACGAGGTTCCAATCGAAATAAAGATTCTTCACATCGAGGAACATGCTTGTCTCCTCAAGGCACTAGGTTCGCAGAAGTAGGCAGTATAAAAGTTAAATGCCCGAAATTGGGGGATAAAGGCATAAGGTAACTGGCTTACAAACGTTCATGAATAAAAATATTTTTGTTTTGATCACTTATGAAATATTATGTTTGAATAAGGCTGGTACATTTCAAACTATCTGTGTTTTAGTTTTATCTTGTTAGAACTGTTGTCCTTGTTTTGAAAATTGTATCTGGCTAAAAAGTTGTGTAAAGGTGTCATGCTAATCTGACACTTTTGACTGTTCCAAGACCACCTGCAGGCAGAGACTCATGATCATAACTTGCCTAAGTCCCGGCAAACCTGACAGACTGTCCAGCACCAACTCCATGAATTCTTGAGGAAGGCAGAACCCCAGCCACCAGCAAGCAGCCTACCTGTGCACCCATTCCAGCCGGTGACGGCATCCTCGTAAAGTGGCTGTGTCCACTGGACTGAGACCACGTTGATAAAGACCCTTGCCCATCATGCTCAGAATTCCGACCACAGTCAAGGTGAACAGACTTGTTGCCTGAGCTCACCACTCGCATCACAAGGCTGCCCCACCCGACACAGAATGAACGATTCATTCTTCTGTAAGAGACCCTTTAAACGGAGACTATCTCGGGTTTCTTAATACTGCATCTCAGTCTAGGTTTTCTGCAGATTATAACCACACTATTAAACTGTGTTACGATAGGTCACAGTGCATTGGCAGGCTTTCCCGGAAACGTGGTGCTCTTGCTGGCTTGGCCTCACCACCTGCCTGTCGACCTGAATGTTTAACCACTAGGTATCGCAGGCCCCCAGCCACAGCCATCTCTGCACGCATCACCCAGAGTCACTGCTCCAGTACAATTAATGCAAACATTCACGGTTGAAAGTCACCATTTTAAAATTGTCAGAACAAATGAAGTCCTTAGCAGAAGTAGCCTTGCAAAATAAACAAGGTCTAAATTTGTTATTCCTTAAACAAGGTCAACTATGAGCTGCCCTTAAAAAATGTTGTTATGCAAACAAAACTGGGATTGTGCGAGAAACTCTCACTTTAGTCTGTAAAAGTGTAAAGAGGGATGATAAAAAAAATAAAATTTACAGGCAATGGATGTCAAAAATTGTTTCATTGGTCTCCTTGGGTCACTATCTTATTATTCTTGCTGTTCTCCTATTATCCATTATTACTACATTAGTAGAGTTCATCCCAGACTGATAGGGGCTGTTAAGCTTATGATATTAAAAACTCAATAGATAGCCCTAAATCCAGAAAAAGTTGCTGATGAATCAATGACTTGATTTTCAAAGAAAAACAGCAGGGAGTGAGGCAGACTAGCAAGAGCCACGTAACCCCATCTCACTGACTGCCTCCTTCCACCTCGGAAAGTCCCACTCAGTGATTGATTTTAAAATGTACTCTTATGTTCTCAAGATCAGAACACTGTAATGAATAATATGGTTCCTTTTGGTGTTGTAACCATGATACTACTATTTTTATTTTATTAACCAGGATGTTATAATCAACGTTGTACCCTGTAACACTCACTAACACTAAAGAATACCATCAATTTTGCTTTCTGCTTCTGCCCATGCTTGCTTCAGTCCTAGACAAATGATAAATGAGCTTTTGCCTTTAAAGATGGACTGAAATGTCCACTCGGGACTGTAATCAATGAACCGCTTTTAGATTCTAGCAGTCTGGTTATAACTGAATAAAGACTGGTCTAAATTATCAAGACATTATAGTGACTGTCGTTTATTTGAACCCACAACACACTGCATTCTTGACTTCTTCTTACGTGGAAGAATGCTTTCTTCAAACAAAATCCTACCTGGAAGCCCATTCAATAAATCAGGAAGAAGAGAAACAATTTCCATGTGAACTGAAGCGGAAGCGGAAGCCCTTGGAAGGTCTCTCACCCCTAGGGATGTCAAAGGGTTCCCCAGAGCACTGTCCCGATCACTGAAGCCAAGCCCCCACTCACAGAGAGAAAAATGAGGCCCAAGAAGCTAGGGAGACCTGCTCTCTTTTATAGCCCCCAGAACACTTTACACAGGGCCATTTATATAGAACCTATAAGTATACATTTTATAATATCTAATATTATATTGTCTTATTTTATAATATATGTTATATTAATACTATATGGTATTTATTTGCATAAATAGATTATATATCATATCACATACATAATCTACTCTATATACATTTTTATATATGATACAGACCTATGTAAAGTGTTATAGGGGCATGACTATAGCTGCATATGCACAGCATAAATAACTGTGAGGGACACACCAGAGAAAGGGAACCAGCATAATAACATAGACTTTGTTGCCAGAGGTGCCAGGGTTTGAAGATAGTAAAACCTGCAAAAGTCAGAAGCTAAGTAAAGCGGAACCCTGCCAGAGACGGAACACACAAACATCTTCCACTCCGCGTGTAGAAGAGAAGTAATTCTGCCCCTGCCAAAGGCAGAAAACTTTAGAGACCTGGAAAAACCGGGAGCCCTGTCAAGTTCCGGCCCTCACACGTGCTAGACTCGCTGCTTCTTAGAGGCACATCCTCAGGCTAGTTGCCTCATCTCCGCTACCTCACTGTAATTAATGCAGGAAGGAAACACTGCCTCCTTCACAGGGCTTTGGTAAAGATGAGATGTGCTTAAAGTAGTGATCAAAGTAATTCTCATCACTGTGGTTCATTAGAAAGGATCCTTTTTGACACGGAAAATTGGGCAGCATACATGGGTGATAGATGCATAGCGTGATGGTGTAACCAATTACACGGAATTACGGGTTTAAATTTTTTTAGTTGGAAAAGTTATAAACACACACATAAGTCAAAAAGCATTGCTCCCCAATCGTAGAAAACGCTGTTGAGCAGAAATAGAGAATTGTGAAGTCATGCCTCAATAAGGCCTCCCTGTAGGTCTCTATGCTTCTGAAGGTCGTGTCTCTCTCTGGCCTTCCCTGAAGAACTCGGCACTCTTTGACCACGTGCTGTTGCCAGGTGCTGCCGAGTCTCTTCCGACTCACAGCGACCCTGTGTACATGAGGAAACACCACCGGCTCCTGGGCCGTCCTCCCAGTGTTCTTATGTCTGAGCCTCTGTGTCCATCCGTCTCCTGGAGGGCTTTCCTCCCCTTCACTGTCCCTCCACTTGACCAAGCATGATGTCCTTCTCCAGGGACTGGTCTCTCCTGACAACAGGTCCAACGTAAGTGAGATGAAGTCTCACCATCCTTGTTTGCCTCTCAGGAGCAGTCTGGCTGTACTTCTTCCAAGACAGATTTGTTTGTTCTTGCAACATTTTTCGGCAACACCGTAGTTCAAATGCATCAATTTATGCCACTCGATGGCAGTCTTGGCATCCTGAAGGGACTCATATGATAGCCCTTTTCAATGTTCTTTGAGTTTGGGGAGCAAAAGGAAGTCTGCAGGGGCAAGATCAGGGCTGTAGGATGGATGGGGTAAGGTTTCCCAGTGAAAATTCTCATCAGACAGCTTTTGCTACCCTTGAAAAATAAGCAGGTACATTGTCATGATGGAAAACAATTTCTTGGTGCCAATTTCTGGCCTCTTTCCCACTAAAACAGTTTTTGATTTTCTTATAACTTCTTTCTAATAAGCCTCCACGAGCAACCTGTGATCTATCAAGATTATCCCTCTGGAGTCCAAAAGCAACAGTGTCCATCACCGTCTGAGCTGACCTCTCTGCCTTGAGTTTAACAGACGCAGCAGATCCCCTCAGAAGGCACTGTCTGAGACCAAAAGGAGCCTGGCGGGGCCGTGGGATGAGCACTGGAGCGCTAACCACTGGCCAGCGGTGCAAGCCCATCAGATGCTCCTCAGTAGCCATCTGCTCCCATCAAGATCTCCAGTCTCAGAAACCCTATGACAGGGTCGCTATGAGTTGGAATTAACGCAGTGACAGTCGGTTTGGTTTTGGTAAAGAGACCAAGGCACATGTATTACCGCGATAACTTGTCTGCAAGCATTCATTGATTACAGAGATAGGTCCAAACCCATTTTGTTTGGAATAAAACCATATATGTATGAACTGAAACCCTAGTGGCAAAACTTTTGAACTTACCAATAGTTGGATGGATAGATAGATAGATAGATAGATAGATGATAGATGTAAATAGAGATTTATCATGAAAATAAATATTGAGATAAATGGATAGAGAATTGCAAATTTAAAAAATCAATTGATTTCTAATGATTCAAAAAAATGCGATCCCTTTAGAATTTTTCCCTCTCTTAAATTCCAATATTCCATATAGTCAAATGAGATTAAATATAATGTTAGGTTGTGGTTTACAAAAAGAGAGAGAAAATAATTTATTTAGGACTTACTCTGCAGTAACTACCTAACCCAAGGGCTGGTATTTGTACAAGACCTGTCCCCTGCCCTCTTTGTCCATCAAATCTCTGGCCCAGCCACTCTTCCCTAAGCAAGCCTTCCTGTACCTTTGGGCTCCTCTGGTCTTACGTGCAGTACCACCTCCTTCTTGAACACCAGGCTCTCCATCTGAAGGCGGATCTCACAAGTATAGGTTCCTTGGTCAGCCTCTGTCACGTCTTGGAGAAGGAGAGAGCCCTCGTTGTGTGAGATGTCCCCCACCAAGCGTACACGATTCAGGAAGCGCCCCATGGGCACGCTGAGGTTGGCATAGTAATAGAGCACGTAATCACCCTGGAAGGCAACACAACAGTGGAGAAAATAGAACATCAGATGTAAAGTCCCTGTTATATGAAGAAAACCTAGTCGT